GCTCGACCTGGCCGCCTGGGCCCGCCCTCCGACCCGCCCGTTAGTGTCTCCCCGCCCGATCAACCCGTCTGGTTCTGCCACGTTTTTTCTACTCCTAGGCCCCCCCCTGCTAATCTCTCTCGTGCTCCATCCATCTCCCTGCCCCTCCATCTGTACTCTCATCCTTTTCGGCGACACTGGGGGTACGATCGAAGACGAAGAGGGCGGGTATCGATGGTTTGGGATATACGTGTTTTATGGCACGCGAGCAGGTAAGAACGAACAATCTAAGCATGATTGTTGTTGTTGTTGTTGTTGTTGTTGTTGTTGTTGTTGTTGTTGTTGTTGTTGTTGTTGTCGTTGACGTTAACTGCTGCTGTCGTTGTTGAACTCTCATTTCTTAAACCTGATTTTTTGTTGATCCCCCCTCCGGTAACCGTTGTATTTTTCAATTGAACTGCCCGCTCCTCCCTGCCGACCTGCTGATTACCAGCATCTTCCTTGCCACGGTGTGCGCTCGCACACGTTCGTGCTCGCGCCGCATTCGTTGGCTCGCGTGGCTCGGCTCAGCCGAGCGGGACAAAGCCCGAAGCTGCCTACCTCTAGTAGGTACCTAAAGCAGCTTCCGTGCTGCACGTCTTGCAGCGGAAATATATAGGAGGGCGCCAACTGCACACCGGCACCGATCCTGGCCGGCGCGATCCTGCGCCCAAGATCGGTGCACATGCCTTCATTTCGGAGGCGTCCAAGAGGGGGGCGTCCAAGAGGGGGGGGCGCAAATCATGGCCGGCGGCATGTGCGCGGCCCACGGGGGGGGGGCCGGGGACATATTGAAATAAGAACTGGCGCCATGAAATCTGGGGAGATATCATGGCCCCCGCCATGATATCCGCCCCCCCTTGTCATCACCCCCCTCTTTGCCGCCCCAGATTACTGGCCAAGTGCACCGACCATGAGCCCGAGACTCGTCTGGCCAGGATCGGGGCAGCAAACACAAATCGCTAGCGCCTCTCGAGGAGGAGGCAACTGGAAACACACGGGCGACAACGAGTGCGGACGCGACGACCTCACGCGATGACTTAAAACAGCGACAAGTACAACGCACTGGGTGTGTGGAGGAGAAAGCGCTCGCGGCAATCCTCCCGCGGACCGGTCATGCGTGATTATCCGCGATGCCGACCTCTTTTGTTATGTCGCGCAGCTGGAAAGGGAAGAGGACCAGGATCATATAGGAGGATAAGTAGAATAATCATAATACATAATCCGCCGGCCCCCTTGTGGGGCCACCAGGCTGTAGGCTGGGAATTCGCAGTTTCCTGTACCAGTTGCAGCTTCCAGTTTCCACTGTTACAATTCTGCTCCTTGCTGCTTACTGTTGCTTTTTGACTTCTTGCTGCTTACTCTTCCTTGTTGATGGACCGCGCGAGGGGGGGAGGCCCAGAACGGGCATTTTTACCACGGCCAAAACGTATGCTCTGAATTGCTTGGGTGGGTAAAAAATCACACCCCTCACGCAGATCGGCGGGGTCAGGGTCCAAAAACACATGGGATTTGCAACATTTCTGAAATTCGGTGGCAATCCTCACGCAGATCGGCGGGGTCAGGGTCCAAAAACAAACGGGATTCGGCACATTTCTGACATTCGGTGGCACCCCTCACGCAGATCGGCGGGGTCAGGTCCAAAGCACAAGGGGTTTGCCACATTTCTGAAATTCGGTGCACCCCTCACGCAGACCGGCGGGGTCAGGGTCCAAAAACATATGGGATTTGCAACATGTTTGAAATTCGGTGGCACCCCTCACGCAGATCGGCGGGGTCAGGGTCCAAAAACACATGGAATTTGTAACATTTCTGACATTCGGTGGCACCTCTCACGCAGATCGGAGGGGTCAGGGTCCAAAAACACAAGGGGTTTGCCACATTTCTGACATTCGGTGGCACCCCTCACGCAGATCGGCGGGGTCAGGGTCCAAAAACATAAGGGGTTTGCCACATGTTTGAAATTCGGTGGAACCCATCACGCAGATCGGCGGGGCCAGGGTCCCAAAACTCAGGGGATTTGTAGCATTTCTGAAATCCAGTGGCACCCCTCACGCAGATCGGCGGGGTCAGGGTCCCAAAACACATGGGATTTGCCACATTTCTAAAATTTGCTGGCACCCCTCACGCAGATCGGCGGGGGAAGGGTCCAAAAACACATGGGATTTTCCACATTTGAGTACAACAACAGACTCGCAATCTCCATTCGTCTTGCCAATTACCCATCGTCTTCGCATGAAGTTCCGACGCTGCTTCACGGTGAAGCCAAAGCCTCATGACTTCGCTCTTCCATGGCCCATTCTCCGAGAGAGGGGGCCGGCGGCAGGGGGCGAAGCCCTTACGGATGATGATGATACGATGACGAGAGCTATTCTAGGATGTGCCAACGAAATTGAAATACGCCCTTCCGGCTGAAACCACCCTCCCCAGAATTACCTAAACGCTTTCCGTCTCACCGCAAGAAGCGCCCATGAAAGAAGAACGCTCAATGCAATTGCCGTTTGGTTGAGTGCCCTGCTTTTGAAAGGAACTGCCCTCCGTCCTTTAATCATTGAACAAAGGTGTGACACCAGAGACACAAACGAACTGTCAAACGACAATAACACTGTGCACAGAGATCGCCTTCCATCCGTGCGATTCATTCACAAACCCCGCCCTCTTGTCACAGACATTGATGACATGTCGGGCGACCGCTACGTGTTCAAGGGCAACCGCCCTTCTCTCGTAGAACTGTTGGAGGGTTATCAAGCGAAGGCGCACGGCTTTGAAGTAAGAACGACACTATGAACGCTGGATGCTGCTGGATTCTTGTGCGACGAATGTGCAGGGCGCTGAGGCGATAACCATGTGTTGAACACAATTATCCATTGTAACTCTTGGCAGTTTCTAGCTCCAGAGTCAGACAGCAAGATCACCTCAAGCAAAATGCCTGAACCGCCCTACCGACATGAGCGGCGATACGACGAGGAGGGGCGCTTTACGAGGAACAGTTGATGGAAGAGGACGAGGAGGATCAGGAGGAGATAGCAATCAACAGCTGCGAGGAAAATTTATTGAAGAGGACGGGGAGGACCAGGAGGAGATGACAATCAATAGCTACTAGGAAACATTGATGGAAGAGGACGAGGAGGAGCAGGAGGAGATGGCAATCCACAACTGCCTCCAGGCCCGCAGCGCAGCCTGGCAGGAGAGACAACGACATCGTGGTGCAACTGATTAGAGGCCTCCTGGATGGGGTCCGAATAGGTGGGGTCGGAGGATCGCGCCGCATCGCCGATACATTGGCGATGTATCGGCGATCGAGCGGTGATAAATCGGCGACGTCGGCGTGGGAAAACACGGGCTCCGCATCGAGCCGCATCGGCGATGCATCGGCGATGTGGCGCGATCCTCCGACCTCATCTACTCGGAACCCATCTAGGAGGCCTAGAGTTAGGTCGGGCGTGTCCTCCTACAGGGGGTTTTGACAAACAACAGCAAGATAGCCAAGAAATACACCAAAATGGTCAAACATAGTCACAACATCGTCCCCAGACAATTGCTTTTGGACTATTTTTGAATATTCCTCCTGTAGGGGGACAGGCCCGACTGAGATCTACTCGGAACCCATCTGGGAGGCCCAGCGGCCCGCAGCGCAGCCCGGCAGGAGAGACGGCAGCGCCGCGGCGCGGCCGCTGGCGGGGGGGAGCCCCCTCCCCGCTCCACGACCCCTGCGGGGGAGAGCCCCGAAGCGAAGCGACGAGTCGTGTCGGCGATCGGAGTGCATCGGATCGGCGGACATCGGCAGCCCAATGTGCCTTCCTTCGGAAGGCGGAGCCCGAATCGGAATACGAAGTCGGATTAATTCAGAATCGGAACGACTCGGAGGAACCGAAATGAGCCCTGCCTGCGGAGGACAGCACAACCCACCCCAACCCCGGCCTTGGGTCGGGCATGTCCTCCTGCCGGCGGATATCGGAGGGAAAAACGAAAGCAGTCAAAAAATCAGCACACATAGTCAACGAATAGACAAAACATCGTGCCCAGACTATTTTTGTACCATTATTGAATATTCCTCCTGTGTAGGGACATGCCCGACCTAAACCAACCCCCAGTCAGGAACCCCCCTCGACCTGGTTATCCAAGGGGGTCCTGGGTGCTTCTTCTGCGCTTCTTGGGTGCCGAAAAACCGAGGACGGGCAATTGTGGAGGAAGAGGGAGGAGGACATCGAGGAGGAGAGGACTATGGGGCGTGAACATTCCCAAGTTTCGTGTGGCAGAACGCATGCTCCACAATGGCCTGGCCTCAAAAACCACCCGACCTGGCGATCCAGAGGGTCCTGACCGGGGATGCGGTGGGTTGTGCTGTCCTCACCTGTCCCCGCGCTGCTCCACCGCCTCCTGATCCTCTCCTTCCTGTAGGCAACTTCGGGAAACCGTGGTGGCTTATGCTCGTGTGGGGACGGAAGCTCGACGCCACCGACGCTGCAGTCGTCGTGATGCCCCAAGGAAGTCTGCATCCCGAATCAGGAACGAAGGGGCCCCCCTCCTCGACATCCTCCTCCTCCTCCTCCTCCTCCTCCTCCTCCTGCTCCTCCCTCCTCGCGGGCGTGAACACCAACCACTCCAGCTCCAGCATACTCACCGCACGCCCTGGACGTCTCTACTCCGCTGTGGGTCGGGGGAATGACGCACGCTCCTCGAACAAGGAACGGAGGGGCTCTTCTGGCCGCGGTGAGCCTCGGTCACGAACAGATCACCCGAACAGGAACACCAGGACCCCTTCTGAGCCCAACATGTTACTCGCTACAGCGTCTGAACTGTAGGGGTGAACGCGGATGACGATGAGCAAACTGCGTTCGGCACCTCTGGGGCCCCCGACCCTCGATCTTGTCTAGACCAGCGCTTTCTCCCAGAATGCCAACTGCGGCATCCCCAAGATGGTGGCGGAAATCGACCAACGCTTAGGTGGGCGCCCATAATTTGCCCCCTCCTCATCAGACTCCTTCACACCGTCCTCCCTTTCCCCACAAAGCGAGGCCCGCGGCATGCTGTGCCCCGAGACAAAACATCAGCGCAGGCCCAGCTCACTCCTCCACCATCTCCACCAAGAGGGAAGTCCCACTTGTGAGGCCTGCCGATCCAAGCGTAGCGCTGCGGTCCTGAAGGGGAGTGAGCATTTCTCAAGGGGGCGCTGCGTCACTTCCACCGCCTTTCGCGCCCATTTTTGCTTATCCATCCTTGGGGCTGCGCCCGTATCGCGTTCGCCCGCTGCTGCGAAGCCTCCGCAAGCATCGGCTAAGAAGCTCGTAGAAACGTCCTCTGGGCAACTGTATCCAGCACGTCCACGGAATCTTCCCGAAGGAATGTTGGCGGCCACGGCTGCACCTTGGCATCTGGCATATCACACCGCGCACCACAGCTGCGACTGCACCAAGGCCCGGTCAGAATTCTGCGCGGTGAGGAGATCTGAAGCCCCCGGACGCCCGCAGTGAAACCGACGAAGCTGGAAGCCCATGGCCTGGGGCTAAGGGCTTTGGGATGGGCCGTGAGGGAAGGATGCAAAAGCACCCTCCCTCCGAAAAACAACTAATCCTTGTGACGCGCCTACAAGTGCTCCTCCTCATCCTCCCCCCTCTCCTCCTCCTCCTCCTTCTCGTCGTCGTCGTCGTCGTCCGTTGTCCTCCTCCTCCTCCCTCCTCCTCCTCCTCCTCCTCCTCCTCCTCCCCCCCTCCCCCTCCTCCTCCTCCTCCCCCTCCTCCTCCTCCTCCTCCTCCTCCTCCTCTTCCTCCTTTCCTCCTCCTCCTCCTCCTCGTCCTCGTCCCACCCCTCTCCTCCTCCTCCTCCTCCTCCTCCTCCCTCCTCCTCCTCCTCCTCCTCCCCCTCCCCCCCTCCTCCCCCCCCCCTCACTCCCCCTGCTCCCCCTCCTTCCCCCATACCTCCTCCTCCCCTCCTCCTCCCTCCCTCCTCCTCCTCCCCTCCTCTCCCCCTCCTCCTCCTCCTCCTCCTCCTCCCTCCTCCTCCTCCTCCTCCCTCCTCCTCCTCCTCCTCCTCCCCCAACCTCCTCCTCCTCTCCTCCTCCCTTCTCCTCCTCCTCCTCCTTCCTCCTTCTCCTCCTCCGCCCCTCCGCCCCCGCCCTCCGCCCTCCGCCCTCCTCCCCCTCCTCCTCCTCCTCCTCCTCCTCCTCCTCCTCCTCCTCCTCCGCCGGTCCTGGGCGGAGGGTGACACGCAGGAGGGAGGGATTGAGGCTGAGCTGGCGGCAGGCTGCCACCCAGCTGGTGATGTGGTGCACGCTGTGTGGTGCACTCTCAATCCAGCGGAGGGCTGAGTGAGGGTGAGGCCGAAGTGCAACGGCGTCCCCCCGCCGGGAGATCGGTCTCGGCTTCGTGCTCGTGTCGCGCGTGCGAGGCCCGGCTGCGTGCGCGGGGGATGGGGTTTTGATCCTGCCGCTGCTGGGGCGACATCGAGACACATGGTGTTTGTTCCCGGCCTGGTTGGCGGCTTGGGCCCGCGGTTGTCCCGCGATCGTCCCGTGGTTATCCCGCGGTTGTTGCCTGAGTGTCCTGTGGTTGTCCCGATGGTTGTCCCGATGGTTGTCCAGATGGTTGTTCGGACGGTTGTCTGGGTGGTTGCCCCGGTGGTTGTCTCGATGGTTGTCCCGATAGGTTCCGGGGGAACACATACATCGGCGCCTTCGGCGCCTCGAGATTTTAACCACGATGCGAAAGTAATGCGCTCGTTGTCCTGATTGTTGCGCGGATGCATATGTCGTGAGGTCAAAAACAGATATTTATATAGATAGATGGATCGCGAAGAAATGAAGCACATCGATATTGATGCACATCGTGAGATATCATGATATCGATCGACTGTTTGTGGGGTTGATAGATAGACAGTGGCATGCGCAGATATATAGTGAGATCGATGAATCGATAAAGCGGTCGATCGTGGTATCGATTGGCAAATAAGTCGACACATCTATCGGTAGTGGGATCGGTAGATCATACCGATAGATCGTGAGAACGATAGGGGTGGTTCGATGGACGGAAAAGGCTGCCCCGACGGTTGCCCCGTCTCATGGCAATGCACGGCCGGTGCGGAGAAGGACAACCGACCGAAAGCGAAACCCAAACCGACAGCGTGCATAACCGAACCCACCGACCGAAACCGACTGAACGCGCAGCGACGAACGACCCCGAAAAGGCGACGCTGTGATAATCATGGAACAACTGCAACAGCAACAATCAATTTTGCATCCCGGCAAACTCTTGGGGGCTCTCTGGGAATCCCTTGAAGGCGTCTTGGAGGCCTCCTGGGCCGTCGTGAAGCCATCAGGGGTCGTCTTGGAGCGCTCCGGGGCCGTCTCGGAGCCCTCTTGGACTGCCCTGAGGGCATCCCGAGCCATTTTGGGCGGCAGGTTCCCCCTCTTGGCCGGTCTTGGGCGCCTCTGGAATTGTCTGGGGCGCCTCTTTGGCGATCGTGGCTCCCTCTTGGAGTGCCTTGAAGCCGTCTTGGGGACATTTTGGGCCGTCTGGGGATAATCTTCGGGGCCTCTTGAGCCATCTTTTGGGCGCCCTGAATGCTGGAAAGGCGATGCTGTGAAAATCATAGAACTGCAAGAAAAATCCATTGTCCCTCCCGGAAAGTCTTGGGGGCTCTCTGGGAATCATCTGGGCGTCTTTTGTTGCTGTTGTTGCTGTAATAGTCGTAGTAGTAGTAGTAGTAGTAGTAGTAGTAGTAGTAGTAGTAGTAGTAGTAGTAGTAGTAGTAGTAGTAGTAAGAGTCGTAGTAATAGTAGTAGTAGTAGTAGTAGTAGTAGTAGTAGTAGCAGTAGTAGTAGTAGTAGTAGTAGTAGTAGTAGTAGTAGTAGTCGTGGAAGTACTATTATTAGTATTATTAGTAGTCGTAGTAGTAGTAGTAGTAGTAGTAGTAGTAGTAGAAGTAGTAGTGGTAGTATTAGTAATATTAGTAGTAGTAGTAGTCGTAGCAGTGGTAGTAGTAGTAGTAGCAGTGGTAGTAGTAGTAGTATGCAGCAGTAGTAGTAGTAGTAGTAGTAGTAGTATGAGGTAAGTAGGAAGTAGTGT